TATTTATGTGGATGTTTAAATATTTTTGTCTGTTTTATTCTTCCTTTGTATTTTTTACCCTAGTTATTTCTTCGCCGCTATTTATTTCTGCATTTCTGCCTCATTATGCAAATGAGGAGGGGGTGTGTCCTAGAGAGTCAACTTCTGCTCATTGGTTGGTTAGTATTTTACTGCATCGGTCGAATCTACAGGTTTATTGTATTTTTTGTGGCAATTAATTGTATGCTTATTTATTTATTGAGCATTTATTTATTTCTGGATTTCTTTTTATATATGGCAGAGTCAGTCCTCCATACAGTAGGAGTATGTTTATTTAATAAACTATAAATACTATAATTTAATGTAATTACTTGGGCGTCTAAACGATGATAACAGTTGAATAATTGTTTTTGTATTGATTTTGGACACTTTTGTTCCTTAAAGGAGGAATCAAAGAGGCCTTAGTCCTTTTTCTGTTTTCTTAAACCAGGTTGCTTTGTGCCTCTGGCCGTAACAGGTGGAAAAATTGATTTTCACAAGAACAGCTTCTCATAATTTGCCCTAGATCCGTTTGAACAACTAGGTTAGCGTTAAAATAGCTGTTCAAAGCTTCAGGCGAAGAGCCACATCAGAAAAAGCTTTTCCTAAGACATCTGAGCGTGCAACCGAAAGTCTGCACCATTGTCCGCCCTAACCTTCCTCCTGACCCCTCTGCAGCGCTCCTCCACCCAAGCCTCCTGTCGCTATGGAAACAGCAGGCCTCCATCACCCCCCTGAACAAGAGCAATGAGATGAAGGGAGCAGAGGGGGTGTCGGAGCAAGACATGGAGACGCTGCGGATTGAGAGGAAGAGGAGGCTGTCACGCATAGAGGAGGTTGGTTGGATGTATTTTTTGGGGTGAAACAGGTGAACCTAGCTGGAAATGGATGATAGAAAACTGTGGGGAGGTGCAAACACTTTCATTAAACGGCGCTGGTTTATTAAAAGTTTTTGTGGGATTTAGCAAAACTCTGACTGCGTTAACTGAGCGTGTTCAGCTTCCTTCTTCCTCACTGACCTATGACCTTTCCTCACAGATGAGCAGCGAATCAGGACTTCAGACCACAGAGGGTTCCTGTGAGTGACCCAGGTTTCAGCAAATCAAACAGATCAGCGCGTACATTACAGCAGTGCTGCTTTGTGTGTAAACAGCTGCATTAGATCTGATGCTGGAAGTGTCCAAAGAAGGAAAGGCTGGAAGCGACGGCTTGACTCCCGTCAGCAGATGGTGGGTTTTCGATGAGCTGACAGATAGCTAGACAAAGAAGGAAGACGTCAGTGAGTTTGTGGGTGTTTCTTTAGGTCTCCACATGAGGATGTCCAGCCAGCGATGGAGCCCATCATGGAGGAGAACCTGGAGATGCCTCAGAGCGACACAGAGGGCCTGCTGAGGTGCCTCCTTACACCAACGCTTTGATAGGATTCCACCAGGATCGACGTTTGGAGTGTTGATTAT